TACGGGGATTGAAATAAGAGTAAAAACAGATTTAACCTTTCGGGTATGGAGTTCATATTGTTTATAATCATCTTCCCTCAAGACGAATATAGCAAGTCCCTCCGAAACGCTGCTAACTTTCTACAGAACTACTCAACGTCATAACCCAGAGGAGCGTAATCAGGATATTCACCTCGGTGAGAATCTTAAATCTCAAAAAAATGAAAGCACAGAGAAACCTATCAGGAGTCGATCAGTTTCACATGTTCGAACCATGTCGGAAGGGCACATAATGCCTCAGAAGATATTATGTACCACAATGTAGAACACAGACAGCAAGATAGAGCCAGGAAGTTCCTCCTTAAATTGGTACTTATCAAGCAAACTACACAGCGTCACATCCAAGAATATCATAGTCTTAAAACACGGACCTCTGTCATAAGTAGTATACAAATAACTCTCGCCTTCCTCCTGTTCGTATATTCGCGGTTTTACTTCAGTGTCAAGAGAAGCATCGATGTCCTACCCGTGGCCACGGTGGACGCTGCCAAGCATGGGCGGACAGGTCCTCTAACTCGTCTTAGTCTGTCATTTCGTTTTTTACTCCATTGAGTTCAGCGTTCATTAGTATGTTTGTCGTCTTACGCGTTTTCGACATAGGAATACAGCACCCCCCATAATGGTAATTGGATAAATTCTGGAAAATTCAGATACGAATACATGATGATTGATGACAAATAAGCAGATCAGAAAAACCTGAAAAGACAGCATTTGCAGCCACTACTGCAACTTACTTACCGTACAATTTGCTTCGAGATATAGAGCTGAATAGGTCACGGGTAACACTGCATTTTAGCTTCGACGTTTCATTAGTCTAAGTAACGCAAACACGGATCTCATATTCCAACACCACTCTAACATTTGTTTTCGAGTTAGTGAAGTAATCATTATAACGTAAAGAGCACCGCTTATTAAACAGAAACACGTGATTCGGCAACATATTCCACACAAGAGATCGCGTTTATGCTTTCAAAACTTACGTAACCCTGGTATCTGAGTTATGTTCATTTACTGTCACACCTCAAACACGCGTGTCAGAGTTGTTAATTTACAATAAACATGACACCACACTAATTCTGTCGTTATACACATTATCACTTTCTCAGTCACACTCGGAAACACTCGAAAACTAAACACGTATGAATATGTAATACAATCACCTGCTACGGCAATTCCTGTAAAGTATTCCTTGCGTTTGATTGGTGGAGTTCAGGAGGTAGTTGTTCGGAAGGGAGAATTCGTTCAGCGAGGGCGCGTAATCTTCCCGTAAAAAATAGTGCGTTATGTTTGACCGAAAACAGATACAAAAACTGTAGTAATTAGAAAATGTTGAAGCTATAAATGACAGTGCTGATGACACAGATCAGTGTAGCTGTCGAATTTTCAGTTCGTGTCTTTCAAATATATGAAGGTAACTGGGCATATATATGGCGTTCGTGGCACCTCTAAACTACAGCATAAACATTAATCCTAGTTTCATTGCATGCCAATTGTAACATAGTAAAACGTGTAATATGATGTGTATGTGCATATATATATATATAAAGACTCCCATCCCAATGCTAATCACACATTTCCATTTTCATGGCCAAGATCTTGCTATAATCATATTTAAAACAGAAAAATAAATTACCAAAATTTATGTTAATTTAATGTAATATCGATTCTAGTTCTTCTTCTTTTAAATTTTATGGATTAGACTCAGTGGTTAGTTCTGTCTCCAAAATCTCCTTTAGTCAATCCATGTTTTACTGGTCCTCCAACATACCTTTTCCTCTGGACCAAAATTCAAACCTCTTTGGGAAAAAAGTTTCCTTTCAGTATTTTCTCGACAATTTCATCTATTTGAAATCCTGTGTGTAATGCCATTCAACTGTAATATATTCCAACAGCTTGACTCCTCAGATACCATATATTTGGAGACAATCATTTAGTCAATTTCCATCATTGAATTGCTTATGGAGGAAGGGCTGCTAGCCACGGGCCCTGGCAGGGAAGGAGATAAAGAATACTGACAGAAATTATGGTTACCTCATCAGATGGGTTGCTCTTTTATCAAAAGTTGCCTCAGTTACCTTTTATTGAGATCTTTGCACATAACCCTGCATGAAGAAATCTCACTATACTCGGTTCTTTATAGAATTTAGCCATAACTATAAAATAAATAAAATTAGTTTAAGAAAAAGTTTATCCAATGTCACAAGTAATATCAAATAATTTTTGTGTAGATAAATTATAAATCAAAAGGCACATGGTAGCATAGTTGGCTAAGACACTATGCTACAAGCCAAAAGATCAGGGCACTCAACTGCACGGATCTCCTGATCAACCAATTAGATGTCATGAGCCTCTGGGTGAACTAACTCAAAAACAACCCCTGCAAGCTGAAGCTAATACTCTGAATCTGAAGCTAATACATTTACTCTGAATCCAGGCCGCGCCATAGCTCAAGCGGTTAGTCGCTAGCTTGCCACCGCAGTGGCCCTGGTTCGATCCCGGGTCTGGTCAAGTGGGATTTGTGGTGGACAAAGTGGCACTGGGACAGGTTTTATCAGAGTACTTCGATTTCCGCTGCCAATCTTCATTCCACCAATTGCTCCACAGTCACCCTCATCTATCATCTTGGACTGGTACAATAGGCCAGAAGTGGCTGCAGTACAAGGCGGACTTAGTACCACTCCACTAGCAATTAAAAAAAAAATTTTTAATCATCTTCCTGAATTCAATAATGAAAATGGTAAGACTTCAAATAAATTCTTTCATATCATATTTACACAGAACAGATCTGACACATCAAATGAACCATCATACCCTACATCAGACATACTTAATCAAACACACATTCAATTACCTGAACACTATGTTTAAACATTTAATTTTGAGTGCTACTTTTGAAACATCTGGCAAAGAAATTTGATAAAATGCGTCATGGCAAAAGTACAACTAAGAAACAAAATGAACTGTGTCTAATGCTAAGACACAGTAGATGAATATCCACACAGCATTTTTCACATACAACTTAAAATTTCAATAGATTCCACCATAGAAACACATTTCTACAGATTATTAATCTTGAAGATCACAGCACTTCCAAAAATACTCCAAAGCAGTAATAAGTAAGACCAAATTACACTCAATCATAAAGCATATAACATTAATGCCCAGGCTCCCACCGCTGCAGTCCTTCAGCAGTAATAAGTAAGACCAAATTACACTCAATCATAAAGCATATAACATTAATGCCCAGGCTCCCACTGCTGCAGTCCTTCAGCACTCTTTCCAGATCTCAAACAGACACTGACCACAAACACCTTATACAAAAATGTTTGGTACTAAATACCACACAGGTTCTAAAACTGCTGATCCAGATGGTCCAGAGGTATCTGCAAGCCTTGATTGGCGAAAGCATTCATCTGAAAGAAATGCAAAACTAAATACCACGAATGAGATACAGGAACATCTGCTATATGACTGCATGCCTCCTTATTGTGGCCTATCTAATGGTAACGATGCATACATATAACGTTCATTTATAACAGTAGATTTACATGTTCAATCGAAATCACTCATAAAAGGTGAGTGACCCATGCCTAAAATATGGATCAATTTTCAAGAACTGCTGGTCAGAACAGAAACCAAGTTTATCCTTTCACTGCATGAACCTGATCATAAATGTAATGTGTAACTGGATTCAGAATATCACAGATTCCTTTAAAACACCAAGATACTTAAGCTACATATTTTGTCATCCTATCAAGTTAGTTATTCTTCCTATATTTAAGCTATTTCACATTCCAAAAACCTCAAGACATTCAAAATAATACCTGTACATATGTTTACGATCCCTACTATAATTTGATCAGTGTATTTCTGTTCTTTGTACAATTCCCCGAAAAAGCCACAATTACTACCCTACACAGCAGTACCCACCTGGTTCTTGTAGTGGAGATTCACAGCACTTTCTAGCAAAAGCATCCATATTTGCAAATGTATGTTCTGAACTGCACTAAATATTGAAACTGCTTATTTCTTATGCCAATCATATGAATATTAATATCCCTTGGTAACAACACAGCTGCTCCTCTGCAATGTCACGGCAGGGGAGTGGGGCACCCACCGAGCGTTGCCTACTGATTGAAGGAGTGGGGGTATGTGACGTCACGTCACTTGCAAGACTGAAGAGTTCACGTGACCCTTACTTCCCGTTGCGCCATCCACGTCAGAATATTTTTCCTAATCAAAAGATTCTAATTCATACAAATACATGCAAATTCACACACATATAACACACACTTTTACTCATCTGGTTAAGTTTTGCGTTGCATTTATAAAACAAAAAGTCTTAGCAGGTTGAAAATGAAGTCATCTCTTAAGCAACCTGTATTAAAAATAACAGATCTCAAGTATACAGGCTAGAATGAAAACTACTCAGAAGACGTTCTGTAATATCTGCACTTGTAATGCCACTTAAAACAACTCTCTAAGCAAATTTGATTGCAAGATATCTAAAGACTGACATAAATAAATGAAACAGTTGTGGAAATACTTCATTTTTACATTACAAACCTCCAGTTATGGTCACCTACCAAAAATATGAAAAAAAGAAGAGACCAATGAACAAAAGATTTAATTTTTTATGATATTCAGTGTGCGTCAACTATTATTTTTAGTGTACAAACGAAGACAGGACGCCAGTTAGAAAAATTCGTGGCTGTTTCACAAGTCCATGAGTCAGAAAAGGATCAGTACCACAACTCTGTATCATACATACAACTTTCCATTAGTCTGGTACAGAGCTACAACATTCAGATTTCAGTGTCTAAAAAGTATATAATGAAAACAGATCATCTCACCTTTATAGAAAAACTGTACATGTCCAGGACAGGTTTGTTAAATCCACATCTCTTCTGCAAATTTGGTAACAAATGGATTTTTTTTTTGTTTACATTGATACATGTAAATGAAAAAATCAATCAACACACCTTTATTATATAAGATTAGTTGGAAGTACATCAATAATGTGACTGGGAGACACCAAGGCATTACCAATAAAAACATAAAAGTTTTCAAAAGCAACCTGGCAGTTTTAGTGTAGAGGAGAAATAATTCTGCGTCAGTAGCATATGTCAAAATGAACTGTCGTAGAAGTGTCATCTTTGGACATCATCTACAGTCTGAATAAGACAGCTGTAAGGACATTTCAGAGGTTGGCAGTCTGTCCTCATCTCAAAAAAAAAAAAAGGTTTCTGCTGTGATACCTGTTAAAATTTGCTCTTTCCCTAGGCCTCCTATCAAAGACAAGAGTGACAAGAACCAGCTTTATCTAGAATAGGTAGCCCTACTTTTATCTCAAAACAAAGAGCCAGCCTCTGATAGTAAAAGGACCCCCTTTATGGTCCCAGACAGCACATAACTTCCCTTTTACCTCAAAACAAATACAGAGACAGCCTCTGATAATGCGGGGACCAACTTCATTTAACAGTCCTACCTAAATACAGAAAGAAACACAGATTCATCCGAAATGCTGTACATCTTTACCCAAATACTGAACAAAGAAATATTCCAATGATGGTGCTAAACCAATGTCACAAACTTCTAAAACAAGAAATGAATTATAAACTGTTTTACTTCACCAAGTCAATCATATCGGAAGCTAAGCACAACTCTTAGTTCTTTTGTCAGTTGTACATCTAAACAGAGGCAAGTCACACAGATTTTAAGTACACACCCAGTATAAATTGCAATATGAAAAATTAAAATAAAAATGAATTGTGTCTCAAGTCTGTAAATAGGTACAGCATTACAGTCTCCAAAATGACACACACTACAGCATATGGATTAAATGATCATAAAATGACATACACTCATTCATCTCCATAAGAAATTTTTAAAAGATGGTATATATTACAACAACAAACATTCAACTATCAACAAAAAACACTACAAACCATACTCTTTGACAAGAGAACATATTGTTCCAAGACACAGTTTGGCAGAGGACAGATCTGAAGATAAAATACCCTTAAAAACATTTAAACAAAAATAAAGCCAATGAAAATAAATTACAACATATATTAAAATTTACTTGATGTACCAAATAAAATTCAAAATCTGTTCACTACCATAATTACATATATAATAATGTTATTACCTCCCATTACAGGGGTCTGGTCTTCTAAGTCTAATTTTAACACAATACTAACTTGCCATATAACTGCACCAAACTGTCTGATGCCTCCAATGCACACAAGACTTAAACAGTTATTTCACAATTTAATTTCGTTGTACTGTACTATTAAGAAAGTAATTCATGCTACTGTTACTGGACCAAGTGTTTGAAAATAATTTCTACTGACACTGTATGCTATAATTATCTTATTTATATGTGGACGAATTCATTGAAGATATTTTGATTTCTGGTCCCAATCAAAATAATCAGGAAGGAATCTTGGGATCAGAATCCTAGAGATACAATTCTTTTACTGACAGTCATACAAAGTGAACATGCAGTGAACAGATCCCTACATGGGAACACAGCTCCAAAGGTAATTTATTCATGAGAATAGATCAACAATTGCTTTTTATTATTTATAGTAAAGAATATTACAAATTAGGAAATTGAAATTAATTTAAACTGTGAAATCTTATAGCTGTAAAATAACTGTTTAGTATACTTTAACTAAAATATGGATCAACATAGCATCCAATTCAATGGACTGTCATTACTGTGTTGAAAGTGTGCAAAGCACAAAATATATTTATATATATATACACATTAAATATTTACAAGTACAATATACACCAACAGACAGATGCACTTCACTTTCATTAATGAACATTACACATAATACACAGTTGATCTCTTTCATTAGTTTTGAACTTTGAGCAATCCGACATTTCCAAGTTATCATTTACAATACTTTCTCACCACCCAGAGGTAACTGAAGATTCCTCCTCAAAACTGCACAGCAATATATACTGAAGGTCACAACAGCTGGGACGTAGTCAAACCCAAGGCACAAGGATTATGGTAGTGTAGCAAACACTTAGGAATACATTCCACACAATATGAAATATTAAAACCGAATTTCATCAAAAAACTCATCAAGTTTTAAAGGAAATTATTCATTTTAGTCATGAATGACATTCTGACAGATTACAGAATTCCTGCACATAGAATACTAACATTAATGACTAATCATGCTATGCCAGGAAATGCAATTAAGCAATAAAATAGTGCTGCCAATACTGGAACTACAGGAGCTTGCAATTCACATGTCTCCTCACTGACAGCACAATCCTCAACCTTCACATTCATTTTTACAGTTAGCAACTTATTAGTTCTGTGCAATTTCAATTAAAGTTATATAGCTAATTCACTATGATACATTCAACCAACATTAGTAATATTTTTATATTTCTCAGTTAGGTCCAGATATATTTGTTTGATGATGATTCATATTTATCCATATCAAGTATTCTGGGAAAATATGGTGATATTGATGATTGGAGGGGGAAAGCACATCAAGAAACCTTTCAGAAGCAGCAAAAGAAATCTGAACTACTCCCATGTAAAACAACTTCACACTACTCCTTGTATTTCAAACTAATATTCAATTATAGTCATATGGTTACTGGCTTCTCAACACAGAGCTTTGGGTTCAGTCCCACATAACTTAGTGTGATATTCATGGTGGACAAAGTGGCACTGGAGTAGATTTCTCTCAGAGTTTCTTAGTTCCCTTTCTAATCTTCACTCCATCATAGCTCCATGCTCATATCACAGTCCCCTGATGTATGCAGTAGCCTTGACGAAGCAGCATATTATCACATTCTCAAAGTTCGGGGCTTCATTTCTGGCCTTGCACTTTGCTGGATACAAATTACTGTGGTCTTGTTTCAGTTTTAGTTACCAAGGAACAACAAACAAAACAAAACTTTTTATTTCTTATCAGTACCAATTAACTGGAATGAGTTTTTGGATTCTGAGAGCATTAAGAATTGGTAATTAGATATACATGAAACTCTGCACACAAACTTCATTGATCCATCTTGTTTCCTGGCTGTTTCACTTTTAGTCAGTGAACAAGCACATGTAAATAAGATGACCATCAAAGAACATTCTGCTGTCACAAAACAGTACGACACTTCTCACTATATGTGATGACAAAAAAACTTTTCACCAGTCACACAAGCAAAAATTGTATCATGTATCAAAACTTTACCAACAATGTTACATTTCAAGAACATTTTTAATTGTACTGCTTTTGTGTACACATCAGTCATTATCCACAGCATCAAGGATTAACCCCAATGTCCTTTTGTTCCCCATTAAAATCTCCTATGATCAATCCACCTTTCTACACGTCTTCCTTCTTCCTTGCAGACCATAATTCAGAACTCTTTCCAATACAACTTCTTACCTTCTTTTCCAATATTGTTTTCATGCCATTTATTTCTGTATTCTAAAAGTCCACTTTTAATTGTTTTCTACTGCCTTCATCCTGGTTTGATCTCAAGAATGCTGCTCCTCCTGATCTCAGAAATCTTATTTCAGTAGGTTCAGTCATTTCTCTGTTACTGTCTATGACTACTGACATGTATAAAAGAACACAAAAAGAGTCTTACGATTTTTAGACAGTTTAGATTATCCTTAACAGTTTTATTTTTTAAGACTCCTTTTACTATGCCACTTACTCCCTTCACCTGTATCTGTCTATTCTTTTTATTCTTGTTCTTATATTAGATATTTCATATTTGGTACTCGAAGTAATTCAATTCACAGATCCATACCATTGCTTCTTTTCTGCTGTTGAAATTTCAAGATTGCAATCTCCTGTTATTTGATAGAATATTTCTTTCTCTACAATGCATTCTGATTTTGTTACAGTTGTTTGCCTCACCTGCATACAATAAGCAGTACAACTTTACACTATTATTAACACCTACTTCAGTTATCTGTTGCCATTCTTTAATGGCATAAAATTAATCTGTGAAAAGGGGCACTCCTCTCTCAACTCACCATTAATTTTGGCACTTGATCTGCTTGTGAGAAACTCTTACCCCTTAGAACCAGCTAAACCATCAGGCGCCTTTATATACCTATGAACGGCAGGCAGACGTGGACAGATAAAACATGAACAACCCTACTATCAAACTGTGTGAACTTGCCATGTCAGAGTAAGCAATGATTTAACCCTCTGCCATGTAATTTCAGTTCACAGTATCCTTATGCTATTGTGCCAGTTAATTTAACTTTCGACATCCAGAAGTAGGAGACTTCAAATCTTCTGGAATTAGATGGCTCGCTTCATGATTCCAACTCACTGGTACCAGTGTATCACCCACGAATAGGAAATTTTAAATCCCCTGCACTATGGTTGGCAGTTACATTTAACTTGGGGGTTATGGTATTAGTGTTGAAAGAATATAATGCTTGGCTACCTGGACTGGACTGTATGCATATACTGTTGTACAAATGCAGCACTTGACTACTAAGATTACACCCTTACAATATTATAGTTCATCACAATAAACATAGCAGGGGGCATTCAACTTCATGACACTTTGGTACATGGCATGAACATTAAATGCACACAAATTAGAGAGCAAAAATGCCACTTCCTATGTCTGGAAGAGAAATGATTATCATAGTACAGTATTATATCATTCTCAGAAAAATGTGAAATAAAACACTACCTACAGTTCTGTATTGGATCCAAACCTATAACTAGACTACAGTGTCACACCATAAAAATCTAAATCTGAACTGAAAACAAATTAGTTTTTCCCTGTCAGTGTAGCATTGCACAGACTTCTGCAAGCAGTTTTCACCTACTGAACAGCATCTTATATGAATTATTTTAAAAAACAACTGTCTATTATTATTTTCCTATACTGCCCCTGCTAAGAATCATTATACTAGTCATGTGACAGACACAATCAGGAATGAATACAATGCAAATATAAATACAATCACACAATTCAAATATGTTTCCTGATACTGTGACAGAATTAGCTGAAGAAACTAACAACCACATAAGGAACACATTATTTGCAGACTTACATCATGAAATAGATGGAAAAGTAGGAAGACTGAGAATGAAATAAATTCTTATTAAAAATATTATTATTTTCAAATATGTTCATGTTGAATTTATATCTAGTGCGTCTTAAATTCAAACAATATAAGCGTTTAGTTAATATACATTCAAGAATTAAAAAGAATAAACAAATATTATTTTATACTCTATACTTACAAAAGTGGTCATTAATTTTGTTTTGTTAACATGATCTCAAAACAGCCAAATTACAGCATATTTCACAAGCGGTATGTGCAATTCATAATTCATACAAAATCAGATAGAAAATAAAATTTATAAAAGAGGGAAGGAATTGAGTGCAAGTACATGACATACAGAAAGAAGTAACATCAAAATGGGGGGAGAGGCAAAATGAGAGTACAACTGTTCAGCCATAGAACACAAACATTTAACATCACTAACACCAAAGCCCACCACTGAAACCCTGCAAACCAGCTTCATTCAGTTTACATCCTCATAACCCATTTCTCTGTGATCCAACTTGATTTAACCTTTCAACTTGCTTTGGTCTTCCAAGTGGCTGCTTGCCAAGAACTTCCTCCAACAAGGTTCTATATACACTTCTGTATCAGATGTAAATGTCCAATCTAACCTGCTTTTCTGTGTGTATTTTCCCCTCAGAGCAAAAGACCACACTCTGGAACTATGTAAACAACTGCCAAATTATCATCCTTCATACCTTACATAGTTCTTATTTCAAATTAATGATACTGGCAAATGCTGAAAATTACATATTTTCTTTCCCAGTTGTTATACTAAATAAAAAAAAAATTAACAGAATAATAATTACATTGTGAAACCGTGATGCCAGAAGTACCAAAGAACGTGCATGAAAGCAAACTATGAACATGTCTTATTCTGTAACAGCTTTTGCAGAATATTACTTTTATTCCTTCAGCGCATAAAATTTTTCCTGAGCAAGTTCAAAGCATATGCTGTTGAAATTTATAATCACTGAAAACAATACGTTTCAAAGTCAAAAAAGATCTCTTACTCTGATGAAAGAAGAGTATAAATATAAACACAAGAAAATTGTTTGAAGTTAGTATAAAATTAATATTTTCCTCAAACTTGAAGTGGGGAAATAACATAACTGAAAAACTGTACAAAAAACAATGTCTGTTACACCAATAATAATTTTAAATTATGTAAAATGAACAAAACTACCTACTTCTCATGAAAGTTGGGGTTCCCACAGCACTGACTGTAAAGAGCACTGTATTCTGGGATGTGACACTGTATTCTGGCAAAAATTTACCAGAGCTCTCGAGGAACATTCTGCCTCCAACTTTAAAGCCAAAGAGAATACAAATAAATAAATAACTGAATTCACAACTGCCCAAAAAAATAATACAAACTAATAATAATCTTATAAACAGAATTCTACAGTACTCATCCAAAAACGAAAAAAATACAAAACAAGCAGGAAGAACGGTAAGACAAGCATGGGAACAGTGGTATAGATAAAGTTAAAGTAGGAGCTCTAGGTAAGCCAATATGAGCATGGAGAAGAATGAAGACTTGGGGCCTTTACATGAATTTTTCCCCTTCCCAAGAAAGAGATGGAAGAAGACCTCTAACATGGATGTCTTTCCAGTTGAAAAGGTTATAACCTTTAGCTTAAAACTGGAGATAAACTGATTAAGGTGATCTCTATAGCTGAATGTCAATCTCCTTTTAGAGATATTTTCAGACTGCTTTCAATTGAAGGATGAATACTGTTAGTATGAATAAGATTTTAAGTTTTTATTGCAGCAAGGATTCTTACTATGGTCCTTTGGGTTATGACACCTTGACACTGACATTCACCTACATGAACAAATAATGTCATGGTTATAAGAAAAACTGAATCTCATTTCATTAAATGTGGTTCACTATCTTGTCTGTACCTAACATCAAATGTACACTGGAGTGGTTATTTATTTCTTATGCTGTCATTCATCTGAAATACTAGAAGAGAAAAATACTTCTTACCATTATCACAAGAAGATAAAGAAAGGAAAAATAACATTCTAAAAACAGCAGCAACTATTCTCAAACAATAAGTGCTGGGGTTTTGCTCTAAGCCAACATCATATAATAGTACTGTCCTTGAGAAGTTAACAATAATACAGTTGTGTTCAAAATAATCCCACCTTTTATGGTACCAAAGGTTCATTACCATATTCACAACAGTTTTTATATTATCTTCCTCACATCTATATCTAGGTCTCCCGCGTTCTTGCAACAATATCACTGATCTGAAGACTAGAAACCACAGCCCCTCACCGGCTGGAAACATCCAAATATAAAATAACACTAAGCTTACTGGAATGACACAACAAAAAGGCAACAGGAAGGAGAATAATTCAAATTTTTCCACACAAAATCTAAAATCCAAATCTTGACATAAGTATGATTAAAAACTTTTGTATGAAATTTTCCCCAGATAGTTGTGCAGTTCTCTTGAAAGAAGACCAGATTTCACAAGCAGGCTGCCACTGGACTTGAAAGCTCCAATAACATTTTGGATGAGCACAATTACACATTTTAGACCAAACATGTACACAAGAATGATATAAAGCAAGGTTTGCTTTATGTTCTTTTCAAACTGTGTAGGATCTGAGTTTCTCACAGCAACAGTTATGAAGAGTTCTACCTACTGGGACATAAGCACCATGTAGTTTGGAGAAAGTCAACTGATGTTTTAGTGGAACATGCAAGAAAGCAAGAAACAGACATTACACTCTGCATGGCTTTCACAGTGTTAAATCCCAGAAGACAGAACTCTTCTTTTCAAACTGTTTTGAATTCTGATAATTTTTTCATTAATCAAGAAGCTGAATTAATTGTCATACAAAATATATTTTGCAGGTGATATATGTGTTAAAAGATTCTTCATGCAGTAAACCTGATGCAGAAAGTCTCTTTAAAAATGATGATGATGATGATGATGTTTACCTTAGGGAAAATTTCTTGTTATCAAACATTTTTAACTTATTAATACACTTTTGAGAACAAAGACAATAATGTAACACACCTGTATCTGTATTTACATACTACAGTACATAGTCCATCAAGCAGTTAACATGAACACATATGAAGTAATGTTTGTGCCATCTGAAATTTTTCTATAGTGGAAAGCCCATTTAATGTGCTTCAATTTCAAGTTTTCCCTTATTTAACATTAGATTTCCTCCACTCAGTGCTCAAATTCATGTGTCCCCAAAGAAATCTTAAACAGGGGCTTCACTATAATTAAACAATGCCAAGGGGCACATACTGGAACATTCGGCAGGCCTAGTAGCCATTCCGAGGGTGACTCAATTCCATTTATCCACTGCTTATTTCACAAACAAGGAATTTAAGATGGCAGGAATGCCTGAATACAAAAATTTAACAATTTCTGCCAAGAACTCTTCAAATAAACGACTAATCAAAACTGGAGACACATCAGACAATGCCATCACAGTAACATAATTCACCAACATAGACTGCAACAACATCCTTTATGGAAATTGGACACACTTTGAAATTACCATATGATTCAGCAGCAATAGCTACATAAGCTTCCATTAACTTCTTTGAACATACACATCCATTTCCAGCAAAGAAGAAGCAATTACATTCCTCATTAAAGTGATTGTCAGTACCTTTCTTTAATCTGGTATGATATGTACTACTCCCAACCAAACAGAGCGTGCATCCTGCTAAGTCAATTCCTGACTTCCAGACAGTGGCAGCCTCCTTCAGCTAAGTGCTACTGTCAATTCCAATTAGAATACAGAATCGCTCCAAAATGTAAATGGAAGCAGTTTATATAAATCACATGTGGTGCTGAAAAATATTCAAGTGCATATGCTCTCAATATCATTTAAATACTTCGAGGCTGATGCAAAGAAGTACTTCACAGTAAAATTCTGTCCTGTATAGGAAAAGTTTTAAGCAATTTCATCATGTTTTCTCACGATTTTGAAATGTAAGTCTCTTGTGCAAGACATCCCAGTGAACACTGTGGTGAATAATCTAATATAGCCTTTATTTTGTCCACAGTTATGGATGCCTATTGTGCTTCAAACTAGGACTCCAAGAAGTTTACTGCAAAACTTCCCTAATATTTCCTAGCAAACTGCACTTCACACACAATTTACATAAAAAATATTAATCATCAAAACAATTAGCCATATTCACTCACAACCAGTATTCAACATGCAGCCTTATCCAGTCACGATGATAATTACTATTTAATATACTGTTTGATGCTACTGCATCCTTATTCATCAGGAAGTAAAACCAAAACTGAATATATATTCATTTAACCATGACATTCAAATGCGTGAGTCATTCCAACACTATATTAAGATGAACTACTAACACACAGCCAGTAGTCAGGAAATGACAGAAGGAAGGAACTTAGCAGGAAGACACATTGTAATTACTCTAAACTGCCTAAGAGCTTTTTGTATCTTGGTTTACAATATTAAAACTTCAGGGACTATTCACAACTACATTCTTCTTTAGGTATATATTTACTTAGTCACATAACATAACATAACATTCATCTCATGCTTTCTTTAACATAAGCCTTCTTACATTGTACAATCACTCATTCTTACAAGCACACATATATACATAAACACACTAGATATACAGAGCTGACTGGGAACAGCAGCAATATCAGTCTATTGGATTATATCTCATATTGAAATGCGAGAGATACCTCCTTTAGCAACACGTCATTGCAACTGCAGTACGAGCAGTGCACTGCTTTAAATTGCTAAACTGCAACATGGAGTTTGGTTCCTTACAAGTCACCTCAATGCCACTTTGTCTCAAGTTCACAGATGGCTTCAGATATTGTTGAATTAACGACTTATGCCACTTACAAACACACCCATTTCTTTTACAGAATAACTGCAGTTCATTTGCTCAGACTGTCTTAGATTTCAGCTGTCCCAACTCTTCTTTTACACCTCGAAAGGTCGGTCTCTTGTCAGGTTGCAAATCCCACGCCTGTAAAGTATAAAAATGTTATTCGTGATGTTTCAAGTTCATAAGCAGTTCTTCAGATTCATAAAAACTTTTATTTCCATTGAAATAAAACATACCTTATCCAACAAAAATAAATTTCTTGGCTGAAAAATCAGGACAGGACATAAAGCAGAGGGCTAACAATCTCTCCCTATAAAATATTAGCATTACCAAGTGTCACACACATCCTCAGCCTTCAATGGAATCTTTGGTAAGTCTAGAAGGGGGCAGCTGTGAACATGGTGATTAACCTTTGTCATCCTCAAAGGGCATATAATTTCTTGACCAGATAACTCGAAATGGCAACATCATCAGTTTGCTGAATTATATATCTCATACTGATGTGACCTTGCTCTATGGAGTTGGGATAGTTACTTCTCCATAATTTTTGAGAGCAGAGGTGATAATGCACAGCACTTGTATCTTTTAGACAGTGCTCTGACTTATGCAGTAACCTGAGAGATGTGTACAGTCTTTCTATAGATAGGTTATTTATATGATATTTTATATAGCACTCCTAATGGGTTGATTAATGTGGCTATTCCTGGTTGTTTCATCACATTACACAGTTGCAATTAGGATCATGCAACATTACAGTTTAAATTCTCACTTACTAGTGACTGTCACAAAGCCACCTAGAATTCATTTTTTAAATGTTCAACTGTGAAATAGTTAATTTAAATGGAGAATTTGGTGTGGCAACAGAATTAATATCCAATCTAAATTAACCTGAAACTGTACTGTTCAATGACCTGAAATATGCAAATAACACTTGATTCACTGCACTGAATAAAATTTACATTTTCCTATGTTCTGAATGTATAGCTGAGCAAAGACACAATGTCAAAGTCAAAATATATTTGTGTAGACAGCATATCCTTACACCACAGAATATTCTTTTATAGCCTTGTCAGGTGATTCACAAGATTAAAAAACACAACATTTATCAATCACCCTGGATGGCGTTAATAATCTTTTATATCATTACTAATGTGATGGACCAGGATGAACCAAGTAAAAAATTAATCCAGAACCAATGATTAGCTACTTGCAAGAACACTGCCTTCATTCTCATGAGCAAACAATCCAGTGGGAGATAACACTCAAATCTCATTGAGTGCTGTACCCTTCTCAAGTAGGGAGTCCGCCATACACATCCGATATATGTAAGAGATTAACCTGTCCAGCTAACTTGTCTTCACATAACTCTCAGGGTGACTGAGACTCCCCATATATTGAATTTTGGTGTGAAATTTGTTTTCCTTAGCACAAGAAATGTGTTTCCTGACAATAAGAACACAGGAAATGTAATTCATATCAACAACTCACACATGGCTTCCATTCTCCGCCTTTCCACTTACATGGAAGCAAAAATCTGTTATATATTTAAGACTGCACTGTGGCATCAGCCACTAACAACACACCCACAACACAAGCTGAGGTTCTCATGACAGTGATTATGAAATATAACACAGTGTAGTCAGTACATCACTGTCTGCATCTCAAGAGGAACATGCTGCCTCCATCTTCAGGCATAAGGGACCACTCTCCTCTCTGTAGGTGGTGGCAGAAGATTCCTCCCTATTACTGCTAATAATCAAACTTGACGGCATCACATCCTAGAAGACTGTAACCTCCATGACATCAAGTGGTTTACACAGTGACAAACACAGCGCTTGTAACATGCATTCATTGTCTACCATACTTTGAACGCAGTGACTTCAATAATATGAATCACTATCAAAAAAATTTCAATTAATTCTTATGGCACACCTTAATTAAAGCCCTGACATACTAGTGCACCAAAGACAAACCTCAGAGAATCACTGTACTACACACTGGAAAGGAACAAAACAATATTACCATTTAGAAAATAATCTGAAATTAAATGACACTGAAAACAGTCCACCCCTTTCCACTTAGAAATGCCAATGCCAAGAAAATGTGGTTCATAGGTAATATAGAAATATATGACATATTTTTATTTCTATAAACTATATAACCTGCACTCAGTTCTGTCTGTAATGACAGAAATCACTTCAAATACCTGGGTTATAAAAATAACAGTACAAACATTACATTGATTATATGTAGAATGGGCCATAATCAACCATGAGCTGCAGGCTGATTGATTACTCCCGGTGTTTGCTGTATAAAGTAACAGTGCATTACTAATGAGTCATGCTACTCTGCATATAAGAATTTAATTTTCCAAATATTACCATATTCTGTTTAATCTTCACTAATTTATAATTTTGCAATAAGCCCGACTTTAAATCATAGAATTATACCAACCTGTCTCATTATTTCATATACTTCTGGAGGACATCCTTCTGGAGCTTCCATCTTGTAGCCTTTCTCCACGTGCTTCACCACATCTGCAAGAGGCTGAAAGCAGAAAACATATTAATTCGGTATCTCCATCTCCAATAAGCTGCTTGTCTAAAACCTCATCAACACCATATTTATCTGACTATTTAAAAAGTAGGATGTCATCATATATTTGTGAAGGAAGAAAATGTATAAAAACACAACGCAACAATTTTTAAGAAAATAAATACAAGCACATCACCAAACTCGCACATCTACAGAGCACAACTTTGATCCATAAAAATATTTCAAAAGCAGTAATCATTAGATTTTTGCTACCATTCTTGCCATACCTGTAAGCAACTAATTTAGTTCTTTTGGAGCTATGCCTGTGCACCTGTGAAGTAAATTCTGTAATGAAGTAAAATTTATATGTCTAATGTCTTTGCTGCCACTCAACCAAAGGGAAATATGTAAACATGTGCCTGCAAAGTAGGAGCATCAGTAGTTCTTTACTTTGCCTCATCTGGAGGCACACAAAACTTTCTTTTCTGACCTAGTAGTCAGCTGCATTCAGATTAAGTATTTTAGATTTTAACAAGAAGTGATTCATTACAGAACTATGGGACTGCCATGCATGTTACCGGCTGTTACAATTTATACATGTAAAGGTACTAGAATTGTGTAACATTTTAGCCTCTGATTTGTTAAACTGCTCATAACAGCTGGGAAACTACTACTTAAATAACAAATTTAATGAAGGAGTATATTTTGTTGTAATAAAATTATTTACCATATTCACAGGATTCTGGATGGAAAATTAAATATATTTTGCAAAATGTAAAATCTCATTATACTTGTTCCCTTAACATTTTGTTTATTCAAGAAAACAAGAAACTGGTATTTCTGAAAACACCTTCCTCCTCTCTGATCACAGAATACTGCCTTAATACTGTATACCAGGGAAGGATAACAGTATACATTTTGTAAAATACTATTTTTTTCACTTCATTACTTAAGAGATATCACGTTCATAACTACCCACCATAGTACATCATCAATCTTTTAGGAATCCTTCTGCTGATGAAAAGCAATCACAACCTCAGAAATATATTTAATTAAAACAAACTCAAGAAACCTCTATAAACACTTATGACAGCTCAGAAACCTTTCTACTGTATACATTTTGTGTTATAAATGACAAGGATATGAGAGCCTCTAAAGCAGTGAAACATTTTCTGAATCTAATATTAACACAGTATGATTCTCAACGTTAAGCTTATGTAACACTACCTCTTTAATAAAAATTGGGTAATTGTTCTGATTTCCCATAACATGGATGGACATACATTCCCTGTTGCAAAGAGAGGAGTAAATTGTGTACTTACTATTCTTGGATAAGGCACTCTTCCAAAGGAATAGATTTCCCAAAGCAAAATTCCAAAACTCCACATGTCAGACTTGTTTGAAAATTTCTGGAAAATGAAGTAAAAATAACTAGTGTGCCTAGCACCACGTAAACCAACTAATGCAAAGGTAATGCTAAATTGTAAGATCTTTCTAAAGGGTTGTGAATTAGTATCATGAATAGTAATTATAAAAAATGGACTAGAAAGTTCAGATTTCCATCTTTCATTGCATTCCAAACATTTAAGAAATATGTTAAGAATTCATCATGCAATGGGCACCCAAACCAAGCAGTATTACCAACACAGTCTGTGTGACAGTGCCATATGATGCTTGCATCTGCTGCACTGGGTACATAAGAGAACCAGCACTTACAGATAGATAAGGTACATCAGCCAGAGAAATATTCAATATGACCTCTCAAAATCACTATGTGTATAAAGAGAACACGGTAAGTACATACGCTCTGTTTCAGTGCTTCAGGTGCTGTCCACTTGATGGGCAGTTTTCCTCCTTCTAGTGTAAAATTTTCTTCCCTTGCCAAACCAAAATCTGACACTTTGGCTACACCTTCTTCTGATATTAGAACATTTCGGGCTGCAAGATCTCGATGAACAACCTTCCGAGATTCCAAGTACTCCATACCAGAACATGTATCACTGTACAGATGAATACACAAATGCTTAACTGTTGAAAGTAGATGACTTTAATTACAGTACTTCTTACTTAAAATTCTGGGAAAAGCTATGATAATAGCTTCGAGTGTTAGCTCCAGCTAATTTACCCCCATCTTCAGGAAACTTAAAAAAAAAGAAAAAAGTAAAGGTATCCTTGTAACAGGCCATAGAGGTCCATAGGGTTGTGTGAGATGTTGAGGTTGTCAGCCCTATGCGCCAGCCGCCCTTTACCCCCAAGAATATTCCTGGTACTCATTTCTGTTACAGGCTGAGTAGACCCCAGGGTCATAGTGTGGCTGAAAGAATTAAGTCAACTGAAAAAAATCCAATGACCTCATCGGGACCTGAACCCATGATTTTCTGGCTTGTAGCATAGTGCCTCAACCAACTACGCTATTGTGTACCCCCATCTCCAAGAAAGTATACAATGAAAAGGAGGCGCCGTGCGGCAAAATACTCATCTGAATGCCGTAACAAAGAAAATCCCTTCCCCTTCTGTGAATCAAACCCTGTTATTCAACCTGTACACATACACTACTGACTGAGCATTTCTGGCTTATGTAATGTTACATTATTCATGAACTCAAGACAGGCTTCATCTTCTGAAGATGACAATGTCCATAGAAGGATGATATGACTGACTGAATACCAAGCAGATACCATACTGCTACAATAAATTAAAGAGAACAATTATTTAAACCACTGTAAAAGTATCTCTCAATAACCTTTAAGAAATGGGCCATTTAAATTCCGGTAATGGCAGCAGGCCGGAGTTAATTTAAATGCCCGCCATTGTAGAGTATTAAACATTGTAAGCATGTTACTGAAAATGCTGTAATTTCTACAATTTTTGTGATAAACAAACGAAATAAACGCTGCTTTTATCTAGAAAGAATATAGAATCAGATATTGTAATTTACAGATTTTAAAATCTGTAAAAACTGTTACACTGATTCCAAAAAGGAATTTTTTCCCACTTTCGAGCATCTGTCCACAAATATGCATACAGTTTCTACACAAAACGTTTTTGCAGTATAAATCCATGCTGCTGACATTCTGTCTTACTATGTCTTATCTGGCAAAAGGGGTGAAAGTTTATGTTTGTATTGCACATTCTCCAGACGCAATTTCAACTATCCACCATGGCCTCATTTCGCATGGAAGAAGTCAAAATTGAGAGGCAGCTGGTAAATGACACCAATTCAGACTGCGGTACAGACAACTCTGAGAGTGGCGAGGAAACAACGGGCTCAGAACCCGAAGTCGACGAAGACCCATCATATTTGTCGGCAACCTGGGGACCACCAGACCAGCATGGCAGGAGGGGTGTGAATAATTATTCCGGTGGAGCTGTGGGGTTAAATATCAATGAAGCTCCACACGTAATTAAGGATTCCACCCCTTTCTGTGTTTTCATGCTCTACTTTGCAGGGATTATCTGTCTGCTGGTGGAAGAGATGAACAGGTACTACCACCAGTACCTAGACAGATTTCAAGACGGATCTTCTCCGCGGCCTGACGTGACCAATTCCGAGATGTTTCTGTTTCTAGGAATAATTATTCAAATGGGACATGACA